TCCGACAAACTGACGTTTGAAAATCAATGAACATGAGTAGAGCTCTTCAGAGTATAAAAGATGGAGAGGAGTAAGTTTGAAGTTACACCAGTTACCTTTAACCGGTGGGTTCTTAGTGTTCTGAGAGTCCTTACCAGGTAATCTACAGCTGCCTACACATCTTAAAACGATAATCAATGAACTTTGTAGATATTTTGTTGGTAAATTTTCAAGAAGTAAGATAGACTGAGTTCGAAAATTTCATTTTCGTAAAATTTCTTCATCGCTAGTTTGCAAATTCAGCCTTCGCAATGATCTTACTTCATCAAAATCAATGAATTCATCTATACACACCTTTTTTTTTTCTACTGATCATCTATAGCTTTTCGCTAGCATACTTCTTGACGAATATGATTGTTCAGCGTACATAATACATGTACTAGTCATGTGCGTCGGTGGCACAGTGGTTAGGAATCTCGCCGACCATGCTTATGGTCCGCGGTTCGATGCCCTGCTGATGCACACCTGATATCTATGGTCGGCCTGCAAAATTTGGGCTACCTATATCACATGCTGAAAATTCCATACCTGTACCGAAAAATACGGTATGGAATCAAGCTGTAATTTAAAAAATAATAAATGAGTGGACTTAGTCAACTTGTTAATAAATACCTAACATATCACACTTATTGCAAATAAAACTATTAGATGAGCGACTGATATGATGCCTCTTCCCACTTTGATAGATTGTAACATCTCCTATTCTTTTATTTCAAGGGTCCTATAATTAACAGAAACCTGATTTAAGATCTAAACGATTCACATAGCATACATTTGTAACTGATTCCAACTCGCCTACCTAACAAGCTGTACAGGACTCTGCATTTCACCAACCATCCTTTAATAAAACAACTTACTTACTAAGTGTCTTGGCAAACAGTAATTGCAAGAACGCTAACATCTGTATGATAAAAGAAGATTAATGTATACCACGGCTTCTGTTCCAAGTTTAAAACCACATCATAAAGAAATGTAAGTATCTGATACACTTTAATATTTTCAGCTAGAAGGGTAGTCAATAATCACTAGTTCACTTATGGATCAAAAGGCATAAATGCACGGTAGTTCATAATGAAATAGTTTAACTATAGTTTATTTACACATTATGCGAGTTAAGTGGAGGAGGAAGTTAAACATGTAAGGTAATTATGTGTGAAAAATAGAAATAAGTGACCGTGTAAGAAAAAAACTAAGTGGCACGTTCGGCTTTGAAATGAATTAAGCACAGCCAGTTAAAATAAAACAAAGATTGTAGTGTGATGAAAACGTATCCAATTACCGGAAGTGTGGAAGATTAAACACATCATGTTTTCGTATACACTGGTTAGATTGTAGTCGTTTAATGGCGATGACTGCTGTGAAACGAGAAACTAAGGACAACTCTATACACTGATTGTCTTGAAAGCTAGCTAACATCGATCGTACATCCCGAGTGGACTGCACTCTAAAACACTCGCTTGCGTTCTAGACGTAACCTGTTAGGCATATGCTACTGCAAGTGAATGTAAGTAGGTAAATACAGTTAGCTGTGACATGAACAAGATACCTACCCATTTTCAACCAAATTAATGAGCAGTTTGTGATATAAAGTAAAACCAACCTAGTGGAAAGAGATGTTGTTTTCAGTACACTTTTAATTCCCTTCTTGATTTCAATTAATACTTGATGCTGTTTATACGTGATACCAAAAAGAATCGACTTCTTTGAAATCTCAATTCCGACTTGTTATTTTTTAAAGTTCATTGAAAGCTTTCTGAGATATTCATTTTCGATTAGATTCCTACCAATAATCGTGAACTCAACACATATCTTGTCTTCGAAACATAATTCTCTTGTTCTGATGAAAAACACTTTTACTACACTGTTTTCTGAACTAATCGGGCAACATGTGTGTTAGCTGAAGTACTGACCCCTACCTTGTTCGAACATATGCTGTTTGACCTTAAAACAGCTTACGTGGATTTATCGCAAATGATTTTTTGCTGTAACTCTCCTTACCTAAGAGAAGATAATCTACTATCGATGCATACAGACACAAGTAGTCCAACTTCAATCTTACTGATGGAAATAACACAAACTTGATTAAATAAATGAACAACAAGAACATGAACCTACACTACTAAAACTTTCAGCCAAAGGACTCAATCTTCAAGAATCTTCGATAAGGTTCAGATCAACAATCAGAAACTCTGTAAATTACTACCATGTACTGATCCGGTCACTCCTAAACTTCACCTTCGGAAATCTATATTTACCACGACACCGAAAGTTAGTAACTACAACACATATCTAATCTACCTAGGTCAATGGAACTACGTAATAGGGACCAACCTTCCTTTCTTATTGCTTTATCTTCGTCCGTTGAATAACTGCACAAAACGCTAGTGATTATACTACGGTAAATAATTACTACCTACATATTTCCCAAACACAGAAGTCTGTTAGAAACAGTCTGACTGGTACTATCAACTGCTAATGAATATTTAGTCCATGGTTTCATCATTCTTAGATCTTTCGATGTGCTTAGCGGCCAACAGACGAAGTACAGTCATAAATACAGTCTGAAACACGACCCACAATAGGAAATAAACATTCCTACAGAACTCCCAGTGTTTTCAGAGTACATTCTTAATCTACCTAAGTGATATTTCGGTAAATAACTTGTAAGTAAAAAAACTTAAAGTGTATTCATTACAATCTAGAATCCCACTACTTCAGATTTGTTAACTACATATATTAAATTTCATTACTTTTTATATCCAAACACTCAATAGGTATTAATTTATATAAATTCTTCACAGCTGGATAATCCACATACTTAACGTCAGATTCGCAGTCTACTTATGCAGTTATTTAGTATTCCACTTGGTTATTACGGCACAAATGTGGAGCAGTAAGGCCCATAAGAAATGGGCCATATGTAGTAATACAACAACACGTGGGAAAGAGAAGTAAAGCAGCTGGGAGAAGACAGATTAAAATAAGCAAGCATAATAATAAAACACCGCTCGTGATTTCATATTTTTGGAAACTGCGGCATGCCCATCAGTAATTTTGGTTCTAAGAGATATCGTCCGTCACTTTGTTGTCTGAGCAGTCGTTATTACCAGAGCACAGAAAACGTCATCCTTTAGACTATGAACAAGCATACAACACATAAAGCTTCCTCCTACAGTTCACATACATGGGTTCCTAAAAGCCTCTCAAAAGCACTTTGCACTCAGAAGGTTCGGCGCACATACAATACTTAAAGGCAAAAACGCCTTGATGATTGGATAGCTTGTATTTCATCGTACAGTAAGACGACATTATCGACACATTCAGGATTAAACAGTTTCTGTGGGCAAGAGATCTATATAGCTTGTAGCCTTCAGTATTGTCATCCATGAGAACACAGAAATGGTGCCATTAAGCAGCCGTCCAACTGCCAACTGAGATTAGTGGTAATAGTTGTACCCTTACAATACATAAGGCTTCTTCAACAAATGGTCAGTCTCATACAACTAACAATACCAGCGATTGTGCTTTGGGTCACAAACGTCTTCAAAGGACCACTACTATTCGGTTAATACGAAGCGTGAGTTCTTAAGAAAGGTAGGGACCTTAATATGGGTGACTGTAGTTTTGGATACCGTCTACAGTGACTTATATAACCATTTAAAATGTCCTCCTAGCAACTTCGATAATGTTCATTCTTCGCTGGACTTTTAGTAGTTAACTTATCAGATTGTGCATCTGGATGAAAAATACTCATATTAGCCTATGTTAGTATGTGGAGACGCCGTGAATAAGACCTGAGAAATACTCTGACTTGAGATGTTATCAAACATGGATCAAATGAACCGAATTTTAATAAAGTGGATCAGCTCAAGTTGAAAGACCTCACAAAGTACCCAAAATTGGAAATATAAAGAAACTACATTACACGTAAGCCTATGGGAGAAAAATAATTTCATCGAGAATAACGAGAACTTAATAGGTCTGAAAGATCACTAAGTGATCCATTAATTCTAGGAGTCTCGGAGATTCTAGTCCGTTATTCTACGGCTGTCTATGTGGCACAAAATTGCGACCAGAGACTCCATGGAGTGACTATACTAGAAAATAATGAATGTAGATTTCCGCTCATCCAACCAACAAAAGCAATATGAAACATCCTATCATTCGTCTCACAAGAAATCTAACTGGTTACTGACTAGTTATCATTTTCCCCTACTATTTGGATTGCGTCAAATTATATAGCACACCCTTCGACGCCTGCCATACATGCCTTCCAGGACTCTCAAGATAAAAAGCATCCAGCCTGTCTTCGTGGACACTTTTATCAATTATCCCTGCATTCATAAATTACTATCCATTCTGACAAGTGACAAATTAGACTGACGACACTAACCTACAATATGCTGAGTCATAACGACCAGCTGACAAAATCCTCCTATTGACTATCAGCGTTAAATCAAAGACAGTATAAAACTGGAATCCTCACTAATTTATAACGACACTAGAAAATCCTGGTCTCTTGCAGCCGAGAAGCATTAAGCGACGTCCCAAAACCTTACACTGCCACCGTTTTCATTTTTACCTAACTGATTGAATGATACACGTAATCACCCACAAACCATAACCGTTTACATTTATCCTCTTAAAAACGAATACCTTAGGGAGATTTCAGGGTTTCAAGCTGAAATGTTAAAATGGCTTCCAAAACCACCAGATGAAGGGTGACATGGAAGCAAGTAACAGTTACATTGAAGTTTCGCACGAGCACGAAGTTCGACCAGTAAATAAAAGCACATCCAAGATTTCAGATCTCGACAAAACACACAAAATTAAATCCATTCTACGTCCCGAAAATTACTATATTAGAAACATCCCGCTAAAAGTATATAGAATCTACTAACAATATCGTTAGATTTCTCCCTTTCATAAGCTTTAAGATATCAGCCACAGAAAAACATTCTTTATTCAGCTGGTTCCGGGATTTTGATTTCATGTTCTATATGTAATCCAAGGGATTTACTGATTGTATCAGTTAACGCAGTTTTACCATCGCCCCAAGGTAATCTCTGAAAACAAGTTAATCAGTAGTTGCTATCTTACGATTATTTCCCTGGGATAAACAACTATGAACTCTTCCTTTCCCTCCATTTCTTTTTCGTGTCTATGCTCATTTTGAAATGCGATATATGTTATTAATATTCCGACAGGTACTGTAACAAATGACAATGCCTGCGTAGCTATTTGAGTGCCTAAGAAATAAAGAAAACTGTCTTGGCAAACTAACTTTTGCTATGACCAGCATAGCGCATACGCCACAGGGTAGAACACCTGCGGGTTATATGGAGAGGAGAAGCGAATCTGAACATTAGTAACGCCAAACTTAAAAGGCCGCACCGTCTCAGAATTCAAAATCCAATATCGTTTTTACAAGCTAGTATAAACCAATTTGATTTCTTTGTGCTCGCCTCTTGATTGCAAGGTATAGGTTCCTGATCTTCGGTAAACTTCTGCGTAGCTAGTCCCTCCACTAACTGTCGTAGCTTTGGTTAACTCCAAAGAGAGTAGTGCTGGGATTAATTATATGTGGTTTGTAGTATGAGGTGTGTTAAAACTGTTACTACTGTGAATTGAGTTGATCCTTTCGCCAGTTGATCCTTCGGTATCTTCGACAAGAGAAAAGAGATAACAATGGATATAAATAGTGAAGTTATTCAGACTAACAAACAGAAAAAGAAATAAGAAAACGTAACAACAGTCAGCTGATTAAATTTGAAGAATAATATGAATAATATATATAAATAGCAGAAATAATGATAATAATAATTTTAGTTAAAGTTTTCAGGGGAGTAAGACGATAGACAATGTAAAGAAGTAAAACGGCAAGTTTAATTGTCTACCCCTGAATGGTGTATACGACTTTAAGGGGATAGGCCATTTGGATTCAGTCCTTGTGTCGCTGCATGGTTGTCCAGCCTTCGCTTAAAAGCGTCCAAAGACGGTGACATAGCTACATTTGCCAGTAAGGAATTCCAGGGACGGCAAACACGCAGTGAAAAGAAGTGGGAGCGCACCCGGTTCCTTGCCCTCTGGTGAGCTATCCTTCTGGGATTTCCACGAGGGAGCCTATACCTACTCAATGGCAGAACACCTTTGTTTGGGTGACTGTGGTCGTTTGTTATTTTGTAGGCAGTAATCAAATCCCCCCTAAAAAGTCGGTAGCTAAGTGTGAACAGGCCTAATTTCTTCAGCCTTTCATCATATGGTTTGTTTCGGAGACCAACCACTCCTTTTGTTGCCCGTCGTTGGACTCTTTCCAAGAGGTTGGCGTCTCTTCTCAGCATTGGGGGTGCAATAATATTATGGACCTCAAGGTGCGGTCTGACGTATGTTTTGTACAACCTTAGAAAGAGCTCAGGAGTGATTGCACCAAACTGTCTATGTGTAAAGTGTATGACCGCATGTGCCCTCGCTACATCCCCCATGTAATTTACGCTTGTGTTCATTTTCTCCGCTAGAACTAGACCTAAGTCGCGTTCCGACGTTGTGCAGGACAAGCTTTCATTGCAAAGGGTGTAACTTGCATTCTGCGGTCTACAGGTGCGCAACTTCACTACTTTGCACTTTTTCAAGTTGAAAGTAATGCCACTGGCTACCGCCCAGTCTTCCAGAAGGTTTAGATCTTCCTGTAGACTATCTGAGTCCTCCGGACATCATATCGACCTCCACATGTTTACGTCGTCAGCGTATAGAAGAGTCGGGCAGCTTAGATGGCATGGTAGATCACTGATAGAAATCAAAAACATCAGTGGTCCAAGGATGGAACCCTGCGACACTCCTGATGACGAGCTGTGACAAGATGATTGGACTCAATTGACCTTAGTGCAAAATTGCCTGTCAGCTAGGCAGTCCTTTAACCATGACAGAAGTGGTTCACCTATATCTCCCTGGCTTATTTTGTGTAGGAGAAGGTCATGATGAACAGTGTCAAATGCCTTCTCAAAGTCTAGGAAGACCACATGGACTGGAACATTCATGTCCCATCATGATGTCCAATCGTTTCAAGCTGACAGTAGGTTAGTAACGCAGAATCTGCCCTTCCTGAAGCCATGTTGAGCTTCATGAGTATATTAGACCTATCGAAATATTCCCCGATGTGATCATCAATAATGCTTTCCAGTACTTTTGACAAAACAGGGAGTAGAGCCACTGGTCTATAACTAGTGGCATTTGCCTATCCACACCCTTGAAGATCGGAGAAAGGATGGCTCTTTTCCACTCCCTTGGCAGTGTCCCCGAATCCATTGAGTGTTGGAACAAGCCGCACAGGGGACTACAGAGAGCTTCGGCGCACTGTTTCAGATCAGATGGCCTGATATCGTCACAACCCGGGGACTTCCCAGGTGTGGGTCGCTGTAACTTCCTTAGTACTATAGTGGGGTTTATTTGGGGAGTACCCCCTAGGTCTTCTTCCCGTGAAATAGTGGTGCCACCATTTTGGTCCGTAACTGTAATACCCACATTGCTGTTTAGCTGTTTGGCGAAGGCTGAACTGAATGTTTCAGTCATCCCCAGACTAGTGAGATATTGACCGTTTAGGCCTACTAAGGCGCATGCCCCCTGGTTTGTCGATTCTCTTTCCGACATGAATCGGTACAAGTTTTTGGGGTTTGCTAGGAGTATTTTAGCAAGGTTAGCCTGGAATGACCTCCTGTCCTTCCTGACACCTGCATTGCACCGGTTCCTGAGTTCGAGGTATGCATCGTAGTCTGTCTGACTCTTAGATACACGCCACGTGAACCAAGCCTTCCGCTTTGCTTGCGTGCCTCTCTTCAACCTTGACGTCTTTCTCTTGGGCTGTGTTGTGACTAAAGGGACGGTATCCGAGATTGCTGTATGGATAAACTTTTTTACCACTTCCCAGTGTTCATCCACAGATAGGTCGTCCCATGCTAAGGGCCAGTCTGCGTCGGACAAGAGCCTCCGAATTTCAGCATGGTCAGCCTTGCTGTAACACAGACATGGTCGCGTAACATTCCACTGCAAACGCTCACGGAGAACAAGATCGAAACCTACGACTGCATGGTCACTACTTCCTACAGGATTCATGATCTGGACCTTTTCGACGAGTAGTTGGTCACTAGTTAGAATATAGTCTAGTTTTGATGACTTTCCACCAGGGCCCGACCTAGTATCGTCTCCAACATTCTCAGTCAGTCCCGCGTTTCGAACAGTTTGCAGTAGGTTTCGGCCGAATTTTCCCTTAGCATACCCGAGCCAAAGTTCAGTGATGAGGCATTGATGTCTCCAGCTATGGTGATTTGGTCGTAGCCCAAATCTCGTATTCCTGTGATAGTGCTGAGCAGTAGCTGATTGTGCTCTGCCCCACAGGTGGGAGATCGGTAGATGCCACCCAGTAAGTGCTTGGTGTGGCCTACGGTGAAATGACACCATATGGAGTCTGGGAGTTAAATAAGTGGTGGGTCCGTTGAGCGCACACATTTAAGTTGGCTATCAAAGTATGTAGCAACTCCCCCTCCTTCCTTATTATCCCTGTCTCTCCCGACCAGAACCAAATCACCTATACTGATTTCACTGTCGGCCATAGTGGGGTTTAGCCACGTTTCAGTAAGAATGATTATTTTCAGTTGAAGGTGTGCTTGGAGATTTCGGAGCTCACCTACTTTTCCTCTCAGCCCCCTCACATTGCTATATAGGCAACTGACAGTGGGTCTAACAACCTCAGAGGGGTAGTTGGCGTGAAACTGTCTGCTGGTGGGGGACTTGATGTTGGAACTAGTTGGACGATTCCGATAGAACCGGCCCGTTGTAGTTTTTTCATGGATCTGGGCAGGATACTTGGGTGACACAGACTGTTATTCTCAGAACTGCATCGCTTTAGTGTCACTGAAGCTTGACGACGTATTAAAGCCTCAGTTTGCTGTCTCCTTATAGTTCGGGGTCTGCTTTCACAGCATCGGATGTGTCCTCCAATTTTTCCCTTGGTCTCATACCACCGTTGAAGTGCTATGGACAACTGCTCCAGGGAGTTGAATGTGACACTTAGCAGCTTTGGAGAGCTAATCAGTGAGAGGTGAGCGGAGCAAGGTAGTCGGAAAATAGAGATAGCTCCAGAAGCGCTAAGGGCGATCCGAGATGACAGCCATCTTCATTGCTGTACGTCGTGCATGTGTTTTCCACAAGCATTGCCGGTTTCCAGCTCCGGGACACCGTGTACCACCACAGAGATAGAAGGCATCAGTTCCGGTGACTTTCTTGCCATATATCTGATAGCCCATGGTCTGTCTTGTCTCACCCTTCTTTTCGCACTTCTGTCCAGGGCTAGTACCTGAGCCATTAATGGTACTTTTTTGGCCTCTTCGGCAGAGTCCAGTGAAACCCTTAATGGGGTTGGCTTCCCCTGAGGCGTGTGGACACCCGTGTATAGCCTGCACAATTTTGCTGAACTAATGTTCAGACCTAATTTATTGCACAGGTTGGACCACTGTTCCTGATCAAACAGGGCCCGTTGTTCAAGCAAGCTATCCTTGCTCACATGTACGTTAAAGAGGATGAGAGAGTTAGACCGACTAACCTCAGACTTAGGTTTGGTCCTCGGCTTCTTGCATTCCTTCGGATCACCAGCAGCATTAGGCTCCATCGGTATCTGGCCAACCTGTTTTGTGTTGCTAAGCTTGCTAGTGGATGCAAGTGGTGCTTTTGTAATTCTGACTTGCCTTGATGTGGATGCAACCTTGTGAAAATTGGCATTTCCAGTCAGTAGGGCTGGTGTGTCCCTCTTACCGCCTTTGACAAGTTTTGGTAGTGTGATGTTAGCCGGTGGGGAGCTGCATGAGACTTTTTGGAACACAAGAGCGGCGTGTTGTTTCTGCTATCCCAGACACGCTTTGTTGAACTATGCCAGGGCGACAAGGTGGACACGTACCAAAACCATGGGCATGGGTTATTTCCCTTAAACTCGTAGTATGCTTTCGGTACCTCTTTGTCACAACGGCAGTCCACCCATCGTTTGCAAAAATTGCATTCAAACGCTGAGTCAGTTTTAGAAATTATGATACTGCACGCCTGACATTCATCTCCTTTCCTTGATGACGCCTTCGGGGTCTTATGACGTCTTGAGCATTTCCTTTTAGGTTTACTTTGTCTGCCAAAACTGGCCTACAGTTGATGAAGCTGTAGTATCCTGTCCCACTGGTATTGCCTGTGCCGTTTCAGTACTAGGCTGTGGCAATGCAGGCGTAGTATCAGGACAGACGAAGGCTACACGAGTCTTTAGGATCGGTATGCGGTTGAAGTCCCTGGGTTCTTGCCTTCTCTGGCTGAAGCCCTTGTGACTACAGAGTATGGTGTTTTAGTGGCTTTTCTAAGGCTACTTTCGACAACCATATTAGCAATCAGTATGACTTGTGCTTTAAACGAATAAGAGAGCTATATTATCTATCCAAAAGAACAAGAATAAGACTGAAAGAGTACAAGACAAGGAAAAGAAAAGGTTTTCGACTTTACCTAGTACTTTCTGGATGATCGGCTTCACAGCAATCACGTGGTAGAGCAACAAGTCTTGTTTATCTGAACGAGTGAGGAAGATGCTGCTAAAGAAGTAGCACCTGAAGCTTTGGCAGTAGCTCGAGACAGTTGGACTTACCACACAGAGATTTATTATGTAAGTGATCGTTGAATATAATTCACAGGCTAGGGAGATCAGGTTTTCTAAGCGAATAATTCCCAAAATTGGTATTTTCCGGTCATTTTTACGAAACTAAATTGGTTTCTTTGTGCAATAAGTCAAGGTTTCTTGGTCTCCAGTAAAATGAAGCCTTAGTGTATCCGGACATTCGACAGTCGTAGCTTAGATAGACTCCCAAAGGTGGGCTGTAACATCTGGTGTGTTGAGATTGGAGTTGGTCACTTCACCCATAAGTCTACCTGCGGAATCAAAAGGAGAGATAATGATAGGTATAATTGCAGTAGATTGTGTGGACTTGAAAAAAAGTTCAAACTAATGGTTAGATATGTTTGTAACTGGTACATACGTGTATATTTATTTCAATAATGACGATATTAGAGAATGAACAGATGAAATAGCCAGAAAGGTAGGAAGAGGGAGGATGGGAAGTAGTAAAGGACGAGTTTGGGTGAATACCATTAATAGTGTGCAAGTTTTAAAGCTATAGAGCGTTTGGACCCAGTCTGTTGGTCTCTGCATGACTGTTCAGCCTCCACTCAAAGCCTTCCACGAAGGCCGCAGCCGCCATTGGCAAGAAAGTCGAAGAACAGAAAAGTGAGAGCGCACTCAAACTTATTATCAGTGGACTATTCATCCTGGACTGCCATGAGGAAACTATCAGGCATTTTATGACGACACACCTTTTGTCAATGTAGTTGAAGATTGAACAATCAATTCATGGTTGTTTGCTTAAACCCAACTCCTCTACATTTTTCGCGGGAGTCATCAATCCACCAGTCATCGTCTCATCGTTCGCTGTTCGCTGGAAGACAGAAATCTACCAGAAGTACCATCGTGATTTATTGTCATAACATTTATTCTTAAACCTTGTGTATAATAACCCTATTGTTGGCTACATATTGGCGTAAGAATAAAGGATTCTCGAGTCGCCGATCTGTGTTCTGGTTTTCGCGTTGGTTAAGACAACTTGTTTCTGAGAGTCTTCCAATGACCACGTGAGGTCCAGCGTAGTAAGAGCTGGACATTGACAGTTTCTGATAATTCTCCTGGAATCATTCGTCTTATTTGTTTTCAATTCGTCTTTGTCCGCGTCTGCACGTCTTCTTTGGACAAGTATTCTGGAAATTTTCTGGATCTTTTTGTCATGATCAATAATACCTTGATCAAAGGAAGTCAAAGCACATTGATTTGATGTTATTAGATGGTTGGAGGAAATTTGTTGAGGTGCTGCACTGGTGTTGCTACAAGAACTATACTGCGCTGTAAGGTTATTTTTTTAAACGAAGGATATACTGGGGCGATGCGTATCCTGCGTCAAAGGTTTGGACGACCTTCAATGATTGTAAGGAACGTATTCGAGACCGTTAAAGGTAATGGTATTCAATTACGAGATGACTCCAAGGTACTCTCTGAGTTTTTGGATAATCTGATGATTTACAAGAATACGTTGATTTCGATGAATTGCATGAGCGATCCGAACTCAAGTTCCGTCCTAGAGTATTAGCGAGACGCCCACCTACTCGACTACAAAGGAGGTGGGTGAAGATAAGCTCTCGTATAGATGATGAAGGTACTGAGCCAAATTTCGATGATATTCAGAAGCTGGTAAAAGAAAGTGTCAATTAAGCTATGAGCAAGTTTGTCAGTATATAGCATCTCCACACCTAGAATAGAGAAGTCTTGGAGAGAAACGCAATCATATATGACGAGAGGGACTCAGCTAAGTGGACATGGAGAAAACGCTATGGTGTTTAGTGCCATTATGATTGGCAGCATTCCTTGGTATTAGAGCGACTTTATTGCATATCCCCTCTATGACGCTTGTTGCTGTGTTGCTATTGGTTTCAAGTGGCCTTGGTTTTAGGGGAAGATTTTACTGATGTAATAATGCGATTTCGTAGACATAACTCATGCTCATACTTGAAAAACTATAATCCTGGAATAAAGACAAGTTGTTTAGAAGGTTAAGAGGGCATTATTTTTCAGTTTATTTGTATATATACTATTGTGTATCGAGTTGCCCTGAGTTCTTAGTGCATTCATTTTCATTAAGTTCATTTTCATTAAGTGTAGTAATGAAGAATGGATTTTCTTCCACATCAGTGTTATTTAATTGAAGTTTTAATCTTTGTAGGCCCTTGATGGAATAAATTCGGCACGGAGAACTCCTGTGGAAACCGAAAGCACTTTTAGTTTACTAAATCTCACTGACTCCCTGTATAAATTTGATCTGTCAAGTGTTTATGTAAAGTCTGCTGGTGTATTCAGTAAAGTAAAAGTTGTAGTGCTTAACTCCTAGACTTGTTGTAGTCATTGGTATTGCCAGAATACTACTTACTCGTATTATGCAGCCGAAATATTCAATTCTCACTTTATTGAGGAAATAGTATATTGCCTGCAAAAGTAGTGCGTCAGTTTACGAGTTTCATCAAGCCTATAGAATGTTTTCTGTTCACTGCATACTGTTTACGACATATCCGAGAATATCCAATATCCAATATCGTTTTTACGAGCTAGTATAAACCAATTTGATTTCTTTGTGCTCGCCTCTTGATTGTGAGGTATAGGTTCTTGATCTTCGGTAAACTTCTGCGTAGCTTGTCCCGCCACTCGACTGTCGTAGCTTTGGTTGACTCCAAAGGGAGTAGTGCTGGGATTAATTATATGTGGTTTGTAGTATGAGGTATGTTAAGACTGTTACTACTGTGATTGGAGTTGATCCTTTCGCCAGTTAGTCCTTCGGTATTGTCGACAAGAGAAAAGAGATAGTAATAATAATAATAATAGTAATAATAATAATAATAGATATAATTAGTGAAGCTATTCAGACTAAGAGACAGAAACGAAAATAGGAAACGTAACAACAGTCAGCTCATGAAGTTTGAAGAATAATATATATATCGTTAATAGTAATAATAATAATAGTAATTATAATATTAATAAGTTGTCAGGAGAGTAAGACGGGAGAGAATGTAAAGAAGTAAAATGACGAGTTTAATTATCTACCCTGATTGGTAAATGCGATTTTAAGGAGATAGGCCATTTGGATGCAGTCCTTGTATCGCTGCATGGTTGTCCAGCCTTCGCTTAAAGGCGTCCAAAGACGGTGCCATAGCTACATCTGCCGGTAAGGAATTCCAGGGACGACAAACCCGCAGTGAAAAGAAGTGGGAGCGCACCCGGGTCCTTGCCCTCTGGTGAGCTATCCTTCTGGGATTTCCACGTGGAAGCCTATACCTACTCAATGGCAGAACACCTTTGTTTGGGTGATTCTGGTCATTTGTTATTTTGTAGGCAGTAATCAAATCCCCCCTAAGCCGACGGTAACTAAGTGTGAACAGGCCTAATTTCTTCAGCCTCTCATCATATGGTTTGTTTCGGAGACCAACCACTCCTTTTGTTGCCCGTCGTTGGACTCTTTCCAAGAGGTTGGCATCTCTTCTCAGCATTGGGGGTGCAATAATATTATGCACCTCAAGGTGTGGCCTGACGTATGTTTTGTACAACATTAGAAAGAGCTCAGGAGTGAGTGCACCTAACTGTCTATGCGTAAAGTGTATGACCGCATATGCCCTCGCTACATCCCCTGTGTAATTTACGCTTGTGTCCATTTTTTCCGTTAGAACTAGACCTAAGTCGCGTTCCGACGTTGTGCAGGACAAGCTTTCATTGCACAGGGTGTAACTTGCATTCTGCAGTCTACAGGTGCGCAACTTCACTACTTTGCACTTTTTCAAGTTGAAAGTCATGCCACTGGCCACCGCCCAATCTTCCAGAAGGTTTAGGTCTTCCTGTAGCCTATCTGAGTCCTCCGGACACTTTATCGCCCTCCATATTTTTACGTCGTCAGCGTACAGGAGAGTCGGGCAGCTCAGACGGCGTGGTAGATCATTGATGAAAATCAAAAACATCAGTGGTCCTAGGATAGAACCCTGCGACACTCCTGATGACGATCTGTGCCAAGATGATCGGACTCGGTTAACCTTAGTGCAAAATTGCCTGTCGGCTAGGTAGTCCTTCAACCATGACAGAAGTGGCTCACCTATGCCTGCCTGGCTTATTTTATGTAGGAGAAGGTCATGGTGAACAGTGTCAAATGCCTTCTCAAAGTCTAGGAAGACCACATGGACTGGTACGTTCAAGTCCCAGCATGATGTCCAGTCGTCCCAAGCTGACAGTAGGTTAGTGACGCAGGATCTGCCTTTTCTGAAACCATGTTGGGCTTCATGCAGTATATTAGTCCTATCGAAATATTCCCTGATGTGGTCGTCAATAATACTTTCCAGTACTTTTGATACCACTGGGAGTAGAGCTACTGGTCTATAGCTAGCAGCGTTTTGCCTGTCCCCACCCTTGAAGATTGGAGAAAGGATGGCTCTTTTCCACTCCCTTGGCAGGGTCCCCGAATCCATTGAGTGTTGGAACAAGTCGCACAGGGGTCTACAGAGAGCCTCGGCGCACTGTTTCAGAACAGATGGCCTGATGTCATCACAACCTGGGGACTTCCCAGGTATGAGTCGCTGTAGCTTCCTTAGTACTATTGCGGGGTTTATTTGGGGAGTAGTCGCTAGGTCTTCCTCCTCTGAAATAGTGGTGCCACCATTTTGGTCCGTAACTGTAATATCCACATTGCTGTTTAGCTGTTTAGCGAAGGCTGAACTGAATGTTTCAGCCATCTCCAGACTAGTGAGATATTGACCGTTTGGGCCTACTAAGGCGCATGCCCCTTGGTTTGTCGGTTTTCTTTCCGACATGAATCGGTACAAGTTTTTAGGGTTTGATAGGAGTTTTTTAGCAAGGTTAGCCTGGAATGACCTTCTGTCCCTCCTAACTCTTGCATTACACCGGTTCCTGAGTTCGAGGTATGCATCATGGTCGGTCTGACTCTTAGATACACGCCACGTAAACCAAGCCCTCCGCTTTGCTTGCAGAATACGTTGCGTGCCTCTCTTCAACCATGACGTCTTTCTCTTAGGCTGTGTTGTGACTAAAGGGACGGTATCCGAGATTGCTGCATGGATAATCTTTTTTACCACTTCCCAGTGTTCATCCACAGATAGGTCGTCCCATGCTAAGGGCCAGTCTGCGTCGGACAAGAGCCTCCGCATTTCAGCATAGTCAGCCTTGCTGTAGCACAGACATGGTCGCGTAACATCCCATTGCAAACGCTCACGGAGGACAAGATCGAAACCTATGACTGCATGGTCACTGCTTCCCAGAGGAGTCATGATCTGGACCTTTTCGACGAGTAGCTGGTCACTAGTTAGAATATAATCTAGTTTTGATGACTTTCCACTAGGGCCCCACCTAGTGTCGTCTCCAACATTCTCAGTCAGTCCCGTGTTTCGAATAGTTTGCAGTAGGTTTCGGCCAAATTTTCCCTTAGCACACCCGGAGCCAAGGTTCAGTGATGGAGCATTGAAATCTCCAGCTATGGTGATTTGGTCGTAGCCCAAATCTCGTATTCCTGTGATAGTGCTGAGCAGTAGCTGATTGTGCTCTGCCCCACAGGTGGGAGATCGGTAGATGCCACCCAGTAAGTGCTTGGTGTGGCCTACGGTGAAATGACACCATATGGAGTCTGGGAGTTCGATAAGTGGTGGGTCCGTTGAGCGCACACATTTAAGTTGGCTATCAAAGTATGTAGCAACTCCCCCTCCTTCCTTATTATCCCTGTCTCTCCCGACCAGAACCAAATCACCTATACTGATTTCACTGTCGGCGATAGTGGGGTTTAGCCACGTTTCAGTAAGAATGATTATTTTCAGTTGGAGGTGTGCTTGCAGATTTCGGAGCTCACCTACTTTCCCTCTCAGCCCCCTCACATTGCTATATAGGCAACTGACAGTGGGTCTAACAACCTCAGAGGGGTAGTTGGCGTGAAACTGTCTGCTGGTGGGGGACTTGATGTTGGAACTAGTTGGCCGATTCCGATAGAACCGGCCCGTTGTAGTTTTTTTCAATGGATTTAGGCAGGAAACTTGGGAGACATAGACTATTATTCTCAGAGCTGCATCGCTCTAGTGTCACCGAAGCTTGGGGTCGTATCAAAGCCTCAGTTTGCTGCCTCCTTATATTTCTGGGTCTGCTTTCACAGCATCGGATGTGTCCTCCAATTTTTCCCTTGGTCTCATACCACCGTTGAAGTGCTATGGACAACTGCTCCGGGGAGTTGAATGTGACACACAGCAGCTTTGGAGAGTTAATCAATGTTAGATGAGCGGGACGAGGTAGTCGGAAAATGGAGATGGCTCCAGAAGCGCCAGGGGCCATCTGAGATGACAGCCATCTCCATTGTTGTACGTCGTGCATGTGTTTTCCACAAGCATTGCCGGTTTCCAGCTCCGGGACACCGTGTACCACCACAGAGATAGAAGGCATCAGTTCCGGTGACTCCCTCGCCATATTTCTGACGGCCCATGGTCTATCTTGCCGCGCTCTTATGTTAGAACTTCTGTCCAGGGCTAGTACCTGAGCCATTAATGGTACTTTTTCGGCCTCTTCGGCTGAGTCCAGTGTAACCCGTAATGGGGGTGGCTTACCCTGAGGCGTGTGGACTCCCCTGTACAGTCTGCACAGTTTTGCTGAACTAATGTTCAGACCTAGTTTGCCACACAGGTTGGACCACTGTTCCTGATCAAACAGGGCCCGTTGTTCGAGCAAGCTATCCGTGCTCACAGGTACGTTAAAGAGGATGAGAGAGTTAGACCGACTACCCTCAGACTTAGGTTTGGTCCTCGGCTTCTTGCAGTCCTTTGCATCATTAGCAACATTAGGCTTCGTCGGTATCTGGACAGCCTTTTTTGTGTTGCCAGGCTTGCTAGTGGATGCAAGTGGTGCCTTTGTAATTTTGCCCTCCCCTGTTGTGGATGGAACCTTGCTAATCTTCACCTTGTGAGAATTGGCATTTCCAGTCAGTAGGGCTGGTATGTCCTTCTTTAAGTCTTTGACCAGTTTCGGCAGTGCGAGTTTAGCAGGGGGGAGCTGCATGATACTGTGTTGGGGCACAAGAGCATGTTATTTCTGCTATCCGCAGACACGCTTTGTGGGACTATGTCAGGGCGACAAAGTGGACACACGTACCAAAACCATGGGCATGGGTTATTTCTCATAAACTCATAGTATGCTTTCGGTACTTCTTTGTCACAACGGCAGTCCACCCATCGTTTGCAAAAATTACATTCAAACGCTGAATCAGTTTTAGAAACTGTGATGTTGCACGCCTGGCATTCATCCCCTTTCCTTGATGACGCCTTCGAGGTCTTATGACGTCTTGAACGTTTCCTTTTAGGCTTGATGTGTTTCACACACTGGCCTACAGTTGATGCAGGTGTAGAATTCTGTCCTTCTGGTATTGCCTGTGCCGTTTCAGTACTAGACTGTGGCAATGCAGGCGTTGTATCAGGGCAGACTAAAGCTACACGAGTCTTTAGGATCGGTATGCGGGAAGGGGTTGAAATCCCTGGATTTTTTCCTTCCCTGGCTGAAGCCCTTGTGACTACAGAGTACGGTAAACTAGTGGCTTTTTTAAGGCTGCTTTCAACAACCATATTAACAGTCACTATAAATTATGCTATGTACGTCTAAGAGAGCAACAGTTTCTGACCAAAAGAGCAAGAATAGGACTGAAAAAGTGTAAGGCAAGGAAAAGAAAAGGTTTTCGACTTTACCTAGTACTTTCTGAATGATCGGCTTCACGGCAATCACGTGGTAGACCAACAAGTCTTGTTTCTCTGAGCGAGTGAGGAAGATGCTGCTACAAAAGTAGCACCTGAAGCTTTGGCAGTAGTTCGAGACAGCTGGACCTACCACACAGAGATTTACTATGTAAGTAATGGTTGAATTAAATTCACCGGCTAGGAAGATCAGGTTTCCCAAACGGATAATTCACAGAATTGGTATTTTCCGGTTGGAGAGGAAAAAGCACGTCGTATTCAAGGAGCGCGCGTGCCGTGTGGGATGTAATACAAAGCTGAATTCTTAAACTGTCATCCTTATAACAGTTCAATTCAATCACACATATAATAATATGATAGTCTGTAATTGACTTCAAAGACTTATCAGGGAATATTCTCATCACCTTACGGTTTGCTGATGATATTGTCCACCTAGACTATGAGAAGTAACCCCTGATGCTGTAAAATATGAAAATAATACCGGTGTTTGATTATAGGTGTCCGCGTTCTATCTCATCAGTAAAGCAGTATAATATGGCGAGTGCTGTTGAGGTTACGCATAAATGTTTAGGTGGGGAGGGTTAGTTAGCCTTCAAGGTAGGGAAGCTGAATAGGTTGAGATGGCTAGAACACGTGCTGGCATACTAAGCCATCGCCTTCCTCCAGGGACAATGCTGACCAGCACATGTTAAGGTTTAAAATGCGTTTGGGTCGGTCAAATGAAAAAGTGATATTGGTTCATAAAATTGTTGACAGTCGGCTGGAAGAAATACCGGAGATGTGACTGCAAATCTTTGGTACTGGTACTGGTGCATTCACTCTGTGTAATCTCACATATCTATTCAACTCATGTTTTTCCTTGTCATTATTTATTCTCCCTCACATTTTCTCTCGTTAAACTTCCATTTAGTTTTATGTCTCTACCTTCGTGTGCTACATGGAATGTGGTAAATTAAACAGGTGGACTTCTCTGCAAACTCATACTGAAAGCTACTCAGAATGACAGTCTGTGCGTAACTAAATGCGAAACATTGATAAATGATCTCCAAAATTTCAACAAATGATAAGTGTAGTTCATAATCTTGCTCTTTGTCAAATGAAAAATTGATACCTTTCGGTAATCTCTTCTTCCACCCGGGACTCGTCTCCTACTTTGCAACTGGATTTGTGCTTTGTCACATTTGTACTTAGTTTTCGGTCATTCAGCATTCGCCGTTGCTGTTGACTCAGCGCCTAGATGACTTTAGTTGAATAAGGTTTCGATCGTGCAAACACGGGTCCTGGGCAGTTGATTGGTTGCATTATCATTTCTCAAATGGAATGCAGCATACTGTATATTAGGGTAAATCTTCCGCCTCGCCTGCTGGAGCTGGTGTTCCTCAGGGTATTGTTATCTCTTTTTCTTTTTTCTCTCTCGTCTTACATGACCTTTCTCTTTCTAATGAGAGCAACTTCGTCAAATATGCTGGTGATCTGACCGTCTCACTTCCTGTCATGTTACAATGTGACTGCAGCAAACTTAACTGCTTCCTGTCTGTAGTCTAAGGTACGTGGTCTTACGTTAAATCCCTCTAAATGTCAGGCAGCTAACTTTCCCCTCACTCATAAGCGTGAACTGCGAAAACTGTGTCGTTCACAAGATGCTTGTATCAAAGAGGACACTGAAACAGAAACTAAGTCTAACATAAAATACCTTGGAGTAAATCTATCCTCTGGTCTTTCTTGGTCATTCTATATCTTGTCGATTTCTAAGAAAACCTTCAGTC